CTGTATTTCATTCTCAATAAAGTATAACTATCGATTTTCACTTTATTTATGACAAAATTTAAAATGTTGAACTACCTATCTCTTATGTCTCATCTTTTGATTAGCTTGTAGATGCTCTTATCAAATCTTTGTTTCGATAGTAATTATTTTTCTTTCGGTCTAAGATTGATGTCTCCGATGAGAGCACCATCTTGTGGGGGGTATATTAGGAAAAATATTATTGAAAAAATAAATCATGATAAGATTATCATGATCATCCTAATATTTTGGTAATATGTTATCATGATTCTAAATTATAAAAATTTTAATAACGTATTATCATTATTCTATCAAATAATGAATATCACAATATAAAAATGATTTAGATGAATATTTCATATTTATTATTGATTAAAAATTATATAATTATCATATATATATATATATATATATTTGGTGTATATCCACTATCAATAAAATTCAAACTAATCATTTCTTCCCGTTATCACATTATATGTACAGTTGAACCTTTTGAACGTTCGATATAAGAGTGAGAAATCATAACTAATTAAAAAAAATGATCTGAGTTTCCACCTGTTGGTGAGGACATCTGATTGTTCTGACCAAACATCAGTATCTCTTATCTTTGATTCTTGTTCTACCAGCTGTGATCCCTTAATGGGGACTCTTCCAAAATGGCAGTATCAAATCAAATTTATTGTTCATTTCAACAAATATCTTATTAGTGCTTTATTTCTGTTCAACCCTTGTGGTAGAAGACCTGTTATAAGCATACGCCATTTCTGTTTATAAGCTTGCCTACGTTCCAGTTGCATACTCGATCATCATTGCAGTTGTCCTGTAATAATTTAGAGTTTCCTGAGAGATTCACAATGATTCATGCCCACACTTCTCTGGTAATCAAAGGAGGTTCTGAAAAAGCACGGGCTTCACCCTCTTTTTTGTGCATTTGGTGTGTAATGATATGCATTGAGAGGGAAGTAATGATATGCATCATTTGTTTCAGCAGTGTTTGAGATGGGAGTCAAATGTGATGTTCCTGTTCTTACTTTCCAGCAGGAAAGTGTTGTACTGATCAGGATTGTTTAAGGGGGAAACATCCTGGATTCAAGTGGAAGATGTTGGAATCTGTTTCTTACAATATTTTGCTGAACAACTGGAGCTGCATTTTATATGATTTAGGTCTCTGATGGAAGCTAGCATGTAAATGCTGAAGCCAGCAAGGGCCATAACATTTAGCTCAGTTTTGAATGGTGCATTCCAGGTTTGTGGATTTCGATTGAAAGAAGGAGCTCACTCTTCTTCATTCCACCCCACAGGGCCTTGCAACATTCAGTGATAAACAGATAGATGGCACTCCTGCCACTGTTCTTTAAAAAAAAGTAGATTGTCTCTCCCCAGGACCAAAATGATGATCATGACTAGTGATCATAGTTATACACAGGAAAAAAGTTTTAACTGCTACAGCTAAAGCTGATATTTCTAGTTAAAGAACTAATTTCTGTGAGCTCGATGGTCAGATCATAAATCCCAGTCACCAGATTATTTATTCTCCCTAGTGTTACTGTTTGAATTCTAACTTTGTCTCTGCTTAAGATTATATGAAACATCATCTTCTAAAGTAGGTTTGCATAGAATCTAGTTTGCCAGTGAAGCTATTGATGTCTTCATAGGTATGGCATGTGGTTCTTATGATTACAGCAACATGAAGTGGAGCTAATTCCTTGATCACTGCACTGCATCACTACCAAGGCAACAAGGCAGGGAAAATGCCAGTGAAGTGCCCAAAATCCTGGACCTACTAATGAGTTTGGTAGCAGGCGGAAGGGCACAACTCTGAACAAGATGGAAATAGAACAGTAGACTCCAGAGAGGTTTCTCCCTCTTTGCATCTTGCAGCTCTTAATTTCACCTAACCCACATTCTTTGATCTCTTCAAAGACATTATATATGTTTTTCTTTGCCTTGTGTCTGCCATGTCTTCTTGAGTCTTGACCCACATTTCAAGCATCGATAAGGGAAGGGACAGATACCAATGTAGAATTCCCTGCCTTGAGGATAAACTATTTCAAGGAAAACAAGCACTTGGGGCACAAGAAAACTATGATGAAAAGAAGGGTGCAGGGGAAACATGGAATACTTGGGAAGAAATATAATAACATGACGAAGGAAAAGTGATTCCTGGAATATCTTGTGCTGCCTGTCTTCCAGTAACTCTGTTCCCATCCTACTTCCCTGTTTTAAATCCGCAACCCTCTGAGCCATGGGAAGAGACTTGAGCTCTTGGCTCTCCAACTTGTCTTTCGGATATCGAGGCGATCACCGCAAGAGTCGTAATCCGAGCATCTACTACGACAACCCCAGCAATAGCAGCAGCAGCAACGACTCCTACTACTACATCGAAGACAGCAACAATATGATCCGCAGGAAGATGGCCAAGGGAAGACCTCTTTCCTTGCAGGTTAGCTTTCGTCCCTTGCCTACTGTATTGTTTCATCTCTTATTTCATGAACACAACCTAAGAACAGAGAAAAAGGGAAGATCAGAAGGATGCTGCAAAACCTACTTGTTCTGAAGCATGTATCTTCTCACTGATCTGCTAATGTTTCCTTCCCACAATGTTCATTTGTGTTGTTTGTTCTGCGTCCGCTTTGCCCCCCTTCTTCCCTTTGGATAATAACCATGATAAGTAGATGAATCGTGTCTTCCACCTTAGATCTCGATATGTACTTTATCCGATTCGTGCTTCCAAGGGAGCAAGACGAGCTTTCTGTTGATCATCAACCCTTCCTTGTGCGCAGACCGTGGAGCTTAAAGTGAGGATGTGCTGCACAGGTTGCGAGAGGGTGGTCAAGCATGCTCTCCAAAAGCTTAGAGGTGACTGATGTCTGATGGTAGTCGATCTCCTTTTTACCAAGTTAATCACAATCAAACAATGATCTATAAGCCTCACAGCACTTTGTTCTTCATGCACATTCCGATCAACTAATTCACGAGATAGCTAATGGGAGAACACGTAAGTGCTGTTTGATCAGGCGTCGACTCGGTGGAGGTGGAGCTGGAGCTGGAGAAGGTGACGGTGACGGGATACGTCGACCGGAACAAGGTGCTCAAGGAGGCGCGGCGGAGCGGGAAGAAGGCGGAGTTCTGGCCCAACCCCGGCCTCCCGCTCTACTTCACCACCGCCAAGAACTACTTCCACGACGAGGACTCCTTCCGCAGCAGCTACAACTACTGGCGCCACGGCTACAACGGCGACAAGCACGGCCACGTCCCGGCGCCGCACCGGGGGGAGGACCGCGTCAGCAACATGTTCAACGACGACGACGTCAACGCGTGCAGCGTCATGTGAGGAGGGATGGATGCATCTGCATCGAGGACCACGAGAAATGATGGCGACTGCAACCGGACGTGATCATGCATCCTGGTGCATGTGGAATAATGGAGTGATGTGTGTATGGCTTTCTGGGGACGAGGCAGTTCACGTGGAAAAAGATGTGTGGCAAGCATGCACGGGGTGTGTAATATGGATTTCCAATTTATTTACATTATAATATTCGAATGCTTTTCTTAACCGATGACATGATCAGAACTTGGATTCCAAGTGTATATATATAATTAGTCACTTGATTGGTAAGTGATTGGTAATTAGATCTATCTGTTTATAATGATTATATACTCTTTAATGGGTTTATATACACACACATATATATATATATAATTCCAAATTTTTAAGGAATTTAGAATTAAATTCCTTGAAAATTTTGGTATGACATTTATGTCCCTTCAGATATCAAAATACTCATCAGGAAAACTCAGATTGACCACTTGTATCATGAGTGATATAATTTTGTTCTGATCAGCGCAATATATATATATATATATATATATATATATATATATATATATATATATATATATATATATATATATATATATATATATATATATATATATATATATATATATATATATATGTATGTATATATATATATATATGTATATATATATATATGTATATATATATATATATATATATATATATAAAATTTGATCATAACACAAAAGATATGAGTGAGTGAATAAAGATATATATATAGAGA